GAGTTGTATAATGTAGTCCAGACCGCAGTCCTTAGGATGTGCTTAAAGCATAGACAGGCTGAAAAACCCCAGCTGGTTTGTTTTGTTGTATAATGGTAAAGTAGGTGGCGGTAATGCAACATTTTTAATGCAACAAACTCACAAAGAAGAAGAAGAGGAAGAAGAAAAAGAAGTGCCGTGCACGGCCAGCTGCGGTGTGAAAGCCGCTTAGATTTAGCCATGTTACGGGCATTTTCGCGTAAAACGACAAGCACTCGCTCCCATTATTTTCCATCTTCCAAAAAAACTGTGAAACATGGATACAAATGCAGTTGCTGTGTGAGAGCTGTAGCATTCGTGTGAGCGTAGAGCAGCTTTTTTAAGAGGGAGGTCTTGACAGGCAAAACAAGACATGACTAATATGAATCTAATATGACTAGCGTCGGAGAGGAGCTTCTCAATGTGATTGGCAACAACACTGGAGTTCAGAAAAGTAGCGCCGGATAGTTAACATTATATCAATAACATACCGTAGCTATAGATACATCATTAGCCTGTGGAAGCTAACGCCTTCCACCTCGCTAAACGGCTAGTTGCCAATAGCAATTCATTCAATGATTTTGTCATTAAGCTCTTTAATTTGTAATACATTTCGGTCATCATGTGCGTACAGTCAACACGTGACCTTATCGGCCAGACTTATCGGGAGAAATGTTCATATCTGCCGATGCCGATGATGGTCATTTTAAGCTTTTATCGGCCGAAACCGATGTCGTTCCGATACTGTCGTGCATCCCTAATTTTCAATTTGTACTCCACTTTAAGCAAAGTGGAAGTTTGTGTTGTGGAATTATCTTATGATGATTTACAGTAACTAGTGTGCATACACAAAAACAAAAACAAACAAAAAAAATACCTAATTTGAATATTTTTGCTATTTTTTGTAACTTACTATGTCATCAGAAGCTGTAGACACCAGGTCATCCTGACTGTCCTCTTGGGTGAGATTCCTAAAATAAAAATACATAAAAATGAAATATGTAAAGTTATGGCTACATGTGTTAGGGGTTGGGGAAAAAAAAGATTATTAGATGCATCGCAATTCGGACATGCAAGATTCTGAATCGATTAAACATCAAGCATCGATTATATAATTTTCTTTCTAACGTAATGCTGACGGAACGCAAAAGACGGAACTCGTAAGTGCGCGACTGCAGAACACGGACGGTCTGCATGCACACACTCACCACACGAGAGATGGCTCAGCAGGAAGTTCGACCTGCTCCCTCAGGATTAAAAGCAACTGTATGGAAGCACTTTGGATTCTATGAAAACCAAGCGAAGCGTTAGTTGGACAAGAGCTATGCTGTACGCAAGTTGTGTCAAACTACCTCCCGGAAGAAGAAAAAAGCTGCCGGTTGTAACGTTAGCTGCGAACCAGACGACAATGAAGCAAGCGATGTCAAAGCTTCCACCCGGAGGAAGAAAAGGCTAAGAGAATTACACATTCGATTGCAATATTTAGTGCCAGGGATTTGCGTCCTTACTCGGTTGTTGAAAACCAGGGTTTTTATCTGAGCAATTCATATGTTATATATTCTAAAATCAGACGTTGTAGACTCTTATTTATTATTGCATATGTGCAATTTATATTATTTATTTAATTTAAGTGCAATTAATAAGTTATTCAGAATGTCACATGCTTGTATGAAAGCAGTACAAAAGCTTTGTATGATTTTTGGCTCAACAAAATTTTATTTTTTATCTGATTTGACTTGCTAAAATGCTTCCAATTGTTGTATAAATAAATATTATTGGGAGTAAATTAATCGTGAATCATTACAAATATTTTGCTTTAAAAGTACAACGCAGTCGCTGATAAAATTCTGTATTGGAAAAAATGTATTCATCAAGATGCATTGATAATCATCTTATAATCGAATCGCAGTCGTCAGAATCGTAAATGCCCAGAGATTCCCACCCCTAATGTGTGTGCGTGTTTTCTACTTACGGAGTTGTAGAAGAAGAGGCCACAGCTTCTTCATCATCACCAATATCTTCAGAAAAGTGCCTAACAAAAAAGTTGTGTTAATGTTAAAACACTTCATGCATCACTCAATATAATAGGATAAAAATGGCTGATTGATTAAAACTATAAATGTTTTACAATTAATTTGGAAATTATGCCACATACGTTTAAATAGTATAAGAAATGATCTGTAACTTTAGCTGGTAATTAGCTCTTTAACTTAGCAAGCTAGCTTCTAGCACGTTTTGTTAATACTTACTTTCGTTTACGTCTTCTCTCTGTTCTTTCTGGAACAGGTGCTTCGTCGTCAACGAGGTACCTTTTGTAACGTAATGGATCCATATGTACTACTTTTCTTTAAAGGCGTCTTATTTCCTTTACGTTATTTACCGTTATACTTGCAGGCTTTTCTCCGCTCTGCTGCTACCTTCTTCTTCTTCTGTTGTTTTATGGCGGATTGGCAGGCCAACGTAAAAAGCGCATTTCCGCCACCTACTGATCTGGAGTGTGGAGTGCACAATTTTGGAAGACTGCGCTATACCCAAAAGAAAAAAAGAAAAAAAAAGAATCCTATAACTAAATCCTATTAATTGTTCCTGTATCTTTTAGATATTTGAATAATATTTCATTAACTCTTGTTTGTCTTATCTCGTTTCCTAACAATGCTTTTATTGAATTCCCATTAATCCCTATTTATCTCAACTCTTGTATGAACTTCACTTTCTCCCTTACATACGCATTACACTCAAAAATAATATGTTGTACTGTTTCTGGATCTCCACATTTATCACAATTTCCTGTTTCATGTTTCCCTATTTTAAAAAGACTGTAGTTTAATGCTGTGTGACCTATTCTTAGCCTTGATAATTATATCTTTTTTCCTATTTCCATATCTTTTCCTCTCCTTTCCAACTTTTGAATCTGATATAAATATCTTCATTTTGACTCATTATTCCATATCGTTTGCCATTTCTTTCGAGTTTCAATTGTTATCAATATTTTAATTTCTGATTTACTTAAAAATACATTCATTTCTATTTGCTGATGATTTAATGCTTTCTTTGCAAGCTTGTCCGCTTTCTCATTTCCATCTACACCCACATGTGCTGGCACCCAGAGAAAGTATACTAGTATTTTTAACTGCCTTATTCTAAATAGACTTTGCAATACTTCAAATATTAAATCTTGCCTAGTTTCAGATTTTCCACTTAGAAGACTATTTAGCGTAGCCATTGAGTCTGTACATATTACAGTTCTTAGTGGTTGAACTTCTTCGATCCACTGTAGTGCTAATATGATAGCTAATACTTCAGTTGTAAATACTGACACATGATTAGATATTCTTTTTGCAATTTTTATTTTGAATGCCTGATTTTGTATAACTTCTATCTTATTAAGTAAGGTTTTATTCGCAGAGCTATAAACTATACTACCATAATCTATGTTTGACCTAATCACTGCATAATACATTCTCTTCAAAGACTGACAGCTTGCTCCCCAATCAGCTTGCTGCTACCTTCTTGTGCTGCTACCTTCTTCTGATGCTACCTTCTTCTTCTTCTTCTTCTTCTTCTTTACGTTTTATGGCAGTTTGCAGCCATAACTTTTGAAGGTGCATACCTATACTATGATATATCCCTATATTTTTCAGGGACTGTACAACTGCTGTCTGCGTATCCTTAAGCCCAGGGCTGTCAAACTCATTTTAGCTCAGGGGCACTGTCTATCTCGACACTGGCATGGGAGCTGGTTGGTGTGGCTTGGGAAAGGGAAGTTTAAGGTCCCCTGCTGGACCTGCTGCCCCCTGCGATTATGGATAAATGGATGAGAATGGATGGATGGATATACAAAATGTTTGTTTTTAAAACATTTAATCAAATAATGTGATATCTTTCATTTTACAGGGGAAAAAAATCCAAACTATATTGATATTATGATCATTACTTCAACCCTGTTATCATTTTCAACCCTGTTATGCTGAGTTCAACCCTGTTATTTGATAGTTTTTAAATAATATTTTTGTTATAAAAAGACAAATTAGATCAATGTTTGTTTTGCTGTGTGTAGAATTTACAGGACAGTTGGAAAAAACATGAAAGCCTGATTAAATCCTAATGCATATTTTTAATTCATATTTTTTGAAAATATATGAAAACCAAGATACTGTTTTCATGACCTGATTTGGTATTCAAATGGTGGGTATTTAAAAATAAAATTCTACATGCAATAAATTATATCAAACAAGGGACATGTCATTAAAAACCTTCTACATGAATGTACTTGAAAATCTTTTAAATTCATATTCACACAGGGTCCAACTTGTCTGTGACGGGGTTGAACTCAAAAACAATTTTCACTAAGAAAAAACACTAAATAACGATTAGAATTTCATGCCTGAGGTGGGAAAACATATTTTCTAAAAGGTTTGACTAATCCACTATCACATGAAAAGATCAGAAATATAACTATTTGATTTAAAAAAAAAAAGAAAAAAAAAAAAGAATGAGGCCAAGGGCCCAATTCAGAGAATCACCCCAATGGGCTCTATGCACAGCTCCACTACTTCCTGAATTTAAGGCAGCTCCTTTGTTTCCTGTCTTTCATTACTGGACGAACTGATTAATCCAGGTGTGTCTGGCCAGTTACTTAGGTCATACACACCTGGATTAATCAGTGCATCCAATCATGAAAGACAGGAAACAAAGGAGCTGCATTAAATTCAGGAAGTAGTGGAGCTGTGCATAGAGCCTATTGACCGCTACGGCTTCACGTAGTTTCATGACGTCATCATCCACTTCATCTGATTTTGCGCGGAAAGATAGCGGTTGGGTGCAATAATGGCGATATCAGCGGGAGGGCTCCGTTATGTTCTTCTAGAATGGACTGAGGGTGAGGACGGAGGGGCGCATAGTATTTTGCCCATCGACTGTGTCCGAAATTTTTCATTTAAAGAATTTCTTAAGAGGAAGGAAAAAACTGAGAAGCTGGTGGAATGGAGAAAAGGCCGCCAACCGTGGTGCACCGAGCCAGAATTATTGAAGTGGCAAGTAAGTTAAGCTAACTTCATCTGATGTTATGTAGTTAACGTTATATGACTATACAATATTAAATGGCTTTGCTCGCACTTGAAAAAGTGTAAAATGGATCTTGCTATGCCGGCTTGCAAGGCTCATATGTGAGCTAACATTAACATTACTTAATTTGCTAATGTTAGCTTACTCCAGTTGGGAGTTAAAGTACTTCTTGATTCTGAGATCATACAAGTTGCTATATATTAGAAAGTTCATATATCAATATGACCTGAGTAAAAAAAAAAATTAAAAATTTCGATGACAATTTGGATTTTTTAGGCTTTTTAGCTCAAGCCTCCTTAAAAAATTTCGCCGCCGTGTCACGTGACCGATGACGTAGTTCGTTGACAAGCGTTGATCTGTTTACATGGCAACACGTTACTTCCTACTTGCAAAACTACCTTTTCTTAAACAAAAATAGACGGATAAAACATGGTTAAAATTAGGGCTGCAACTTACGATTATTTTAAAAATCGATGAATCGGCCGATTATTTTTTCGATTAATCGATGAATCGGACAAAAAATATTTTTTATATTAACCTCTTTATTCCAAAATAAACATTTTAGACAGAACAAACAAGCACACAAGTACAGGTTGCTCATTAACTGTACTGGTGCAATATGAAAAATAAATGTTTGTGTTAAAACTACGCAAACTTACATGAGAAATGTAGCTGTACATCCACTAAATATAGGGTACTTTGTTTCATAAAGCGCAAAAAGAGACAGGCATTTTTGTTTTTTAAAGCCCCTAAGGGGTTCAAACAACAGGCCCCCCCATTTCAACGAATGAGTTTTTTTTTAGACTAGAAGAGTTCTGCCTTTTAAGACAGGAAAGTATAGCAGTTAAAGTTGCTACTTGAGAAAATACTTAACCATAGAGATAAAAATAGCCCTGTGGTTCAAATTATAAATTGTATTTGGAATAAAAATGAGAGAACTAGGGGTGCTAAAAAACACATCCTCCAAAGACAGATATTTACATGGGAATGTGGCAGATAATTAATTGACATATTACTGATCTTTCTGGATTTTATTATGCTTTACTTCCATAAATTGCAGGATCTTCTTTATCTTTGCCAGAAGATTTAAACTTTAAAAGCCTTGCCCTCATAATTTGCAAGTTAATTTATGTATAAAGAAAATATAAACGCTGCTTAAGCTAATTCAAATGAAATTAAAAGTAAAATAAGTAGCCAACCTTATCACTGTCTGTAACCTACTAACACGGTAAGGAAAGCATCAGATGAGCTACCTGAGAAACTGTCTGGCAGAACCACGATTATAAAGCCCGATTCCAGCCCATTTCGTTTAATCTTCTTAAATATGTTTTATTATTATATAGTCGAATCGTAACAGAAGCTTGCGCTGTATTTCATGTTAAAATCATCACTTTGTGAATCCACATGTGAACTTGTCATTGTGTCCTCCATTGCACTCTATGTAGCTTAGCTGGAGCTAAGTCAACGAACTATGTCATTGTACCACGTGACCCAGATGTGGATTTTCCGCCTAGCGGTCGCCACGGGGCACTTTTTAGTCCAAAAAAATATCTTCACCAGCGCAATCCCGATCTTAATGCCACATTTTCTGAAAATAAGGTCACAAATGCATGTTTTTCCAAGTTGGTCGATTTTAGAAAAGTAGTCAAGAAGTACTTTTTAATGTTTGATTTGGTAACGTTAAACTGATTAGACACGTTTGCAGTTCATGAAAACGTTTCTATTCTTTGCACCAGAATTTGAAAAAACTCTCAAAATCAAACTGCGTGAGATCGAGATGGAGAAAGAAGACACACAAGGGCAAACAAAACGTCCTCACATCCCAAATTCTAAGTACAGTGACCAGCAGGGGCTAACTGAGAAGGCTTCAAAGAAAAAGGTAACATAAACTGACTTCACCAATTGGTGCTATGCTTAAAGTTATCTCCCCCTCTCTCTCTTGTTCCTTAATGTGTATGCATGTGTGTAGGTTTGTAATTGTCTTATCTATGATGATTTCATGTGCTTTGTTGACAAGATGATCAAGTGCAAGGTCATGTAACATAAGTTAACATAAGAGTTGGGATAAAAGTCAGTCCGTCTCTCTGTCACTCAAGGTTGACAATCAAAAGGGAGGGGCTTCCAAATCAAAGCACCAGGAGGGTGAGAAGCAGGAGGGTCATGACATACTTTCAAAGAACAAGGTACACAACCAGTCTGCATCCTGTGTGTTTTGTTTCATTACAAAACAGCAGCTGTTATAAGGTATGAAAGCAGCACAATAGGGAAATTTTTCCCCTTTGTCCCGAGAAGCAGGAGAAGGTGGCGGAGGAGGAGGAGGAAGAGGAGGAGGGTGTGGAGGAGGAGGAGGAGGAGGATACGCTTGATTACAGCTCTTCAAAGAACAAGGTACACTAGCAGTCTGCAAGCAGTGTGAGTTATTACATTGCAATACAGTAAAGATAAGTAAGACTTTTATAATAAAGTGCTTTACCAGTAGCTGTACCAGGTATGACATCAGCCCAGTAGGCAACTTTGTCCCCCCTCTCTCTCTTTCTCTTTGCCTACCAGCGGGCCAGCGAAGAGAAAGAGTGTATTTGGGATGAAGAGGACATAATACCACCCTCTAAGAAAAAGGTAGCCTAAATGATGACATCCATTGATAGGTGTATTACATACATACATTACATGAAATACAAGATGTGGAAATTTCAAATTGTGTTTTAAGTAAGGAATAAGTACAAGGAGGCCTGACAACCAGTTACATATAGCCGAGGGGAGAGGTTTATGCCCTAGACTCCTAGACATCCTCCCAGCCAATCAGAATAAACAAGGGCTGCACGATATTGGGGAAAAAATGCATTGCAATATTTTCTCCCCAACGATACATATTGCGATATTGTGAGCCATATCAATTCAGGCTAAAGTCAATAATTACCATTCCGTGATATTAATAATTGAATTAATAAGCAAGCTTCATTACAGTGCAAAAGTAAAACACTGTTGGCCATCATCATAATTGCCGTTTTAGGTGTTCATACAAATTGTCAGCGTTTCCCAAAAACTCCAAGCAAAGTAACGTTACCTCTTTTTGGTGAACATCCTCCTTTTTGTAGCCGAAATGGTCCCAAACAGTGTTCCTCTAAGCTGCGCACCTGTGTGCACTGCTCGCACATTCTCAGTGCACAAGTATAACTATGTAGCACATAAAATGTCATTCACCATAGACGCATAAATTAATATTTAATTTAGACCTAGTCTAATCAAAGAAATGACACTAAAAATGTGCTTTTCAGGACCGTTTTTCAACGTAGCAGTGAGTGACAGGTGTCCAGCCAATGATACGGTCTATTTATGCTACGTAACTAATCATAGCATTGATAGTGCTTTTGTATGTGCCCTTCCCGTACGTGCCGAGCAGGTTAGCTACAGCTAACAACAACACAGCGGAGTTATCCGCCGTTATAGATGTTATAATAGATCATAGAGGTTATAGACACAACCCACACACAAAGCTAAAGTTAAAGATAACGAAGTGTGTGTGTGTGTGTGTGTGTGTGGCGACAGCGTGCACATGTTGCTCGCAGTGGTCCTCAGTTTGCTCTGGGGGCTTGTGAATATCGTTCAGCCCTAGAATCAACCATCCATTTTAGAAATGAAGTTATAGAACAATTAAATTTTGTTCTTTTCTCTGTCTCTTTTCCGTAGACAGCTGCTGAAGTTAGAAAACACCTGGACGAACAGATGTGGGAGAAAAGAAAATTCGACCAAATGCAAAGAAATTTGCAGGAGTTGAGGAATGAACTCCAAACTCTTAAAAAGGAAAATGAACGTCTGAAAGACATTATCATCAATCGTAAGTTTTTCTAATTTTATTATTATTAGCAGGGTTTTTTCAGGAGATGGATTTTTTCGTGGCAGAGAAGTATAAACTTAGAAATTTTATGGGCTGCAACACATGTTTGGAAAAATAAATGCTATGTTGTTAGCTGGTGAGGTAGTGATAGTGCTCACATAGCCACTCATAAGATTCAAATTAGAATTAAAGCTGCAAGCAGCGATGGACGGGCCCTCGCACGTGCTGGGTGCTATTTTGATTTGAGGATTGTCATTTATTCTTGGTATAATTTCATTCTAGATATCCCTCAAATTCAAAGTGACCTCTCCATTATTGCTCAAAAGGTAATTTCTTCTGATTGTCATTGTTTTTTAAAATTGTTTCTCAGGCAGAGCTGTAGAGAATTGTGATGTTGAGCTAATTTATAGTGTTAATTATTTCATGTATTTGCACTTTAATGTATTGAAGTTACTAACTTTATTTTTCTTTTATGGACAAGACTGGAAGGACTCCTGTGGAAGATCTTGATTCCTCCTTGACTTTTGTGCAACCGGTGGGTAACCCCCTCGCATTTTTATTTATTTATTTAGTGTACTGGTTACTTAAACAACTGTATGGATTTGATTATTTTTCGCTGATTACTTTTGCATGTCACTTTAATTTATTGACATGTTTAATGTTTTCCAAGCCCGTAAATAAGAATCTATTGGCTTCCTTGGATGAATAAAAATTGTTGTAGAGTTTTACTACCGTATTTTCCGGACTATAAGTCGCTCCGGGGTACAAGTTGCACCAGCCATTAAATGCATAATAAAGGAAAAAAAAAACATATATAAGTCACACTGGAGTATAAGTCGCATTTTTTTGTTGTTGCTTTCGCGCGTGCATATAGTGAAATAACTGGCGCTCCGCTCCACTCTTCTACCCCAAACCCCCCTCCTCACACGCACACTCGTCCGCGCAAACCATGTCTTCTTCCACCCGCTACGTGGGTTTGTTTGGTTTGAAAATAACAGGTGTAATGATATACCGGTAAAAATGTGTAATAATTTCACACACAAGTCGCTCCAGAGTATAAGTCGCACCCCCGGCCAAACTATGAAAAAAACTGCAACTTATAGTCTGGAAAATACAGTATGTTTCTTTCTTCTCTAAGATTCCAGAAAGGAGATTGAGCACAGAGGAGACCGAGCCCTTTAAAAAGAGTCACATGGTGACTGAGCTCGTTGGAGAGACATCCCAGGTGTGTGTAACCCTTTTATACCTCAGATTTTTCTGTACTTATTTCACTTAAGGCTCCAACTGAGCTATAAGGATTTTTATGTTGGGATAGTTAGTGGTAATATATAATTTACTTGCCCCACATGCATAAAGTTGTTGAAGTTTTACAATTGTTGAATTTAACAATGTTTTTCTTCTCAAACAAGACTGCATCAAGAGCTGAGACCTCAGCAAAAACACAGGTGAATAACATATTATGTAGTAATACATATTATGTGCTTTGTAGTAGCCAATTAGTGTTATAAGTTTAGGGCAATGATTATTTTGATTCATATCTTTATCATTAATCTGCATTTATAAAACCTATTTACTATTGGGAAACTAAGCATAAGAATCAATATGAAACATCAAAAGGTTTCTAAAAGTTGCCAATAAATGAATATTGTGATTTGAAATTATTTTTTTTAGATTGAAGTTATAAAGGGCTCTGGAGTGTTTTGTCGGGCAGAAGCATGGAAAGCAGCCCGCCTTGCCACCTCTGCTACTGCCATGGTGCGGAATCTGCTGCTGGGCACCTTTGACCTGGAGACTTTGCTGAAAAGCAACCTAAATGGTACAAAATAAAATGTTCCTAATCTCTTCTGTCTTGGAAAAAAAGTTAGTCATAGTCTGTGGAATAAATTATGACTGTTATGTTTAGTACCTCAAGAAAACGTGATGTGTATATTAAAAAACAAAAACTCTTACTTTCTCCACCTTCATTTTGAAATATTATTTTAAGGTGGGAAGCCAACCAGAGGGGATGGGGAGCAGCTGGTCGCCCTTGACCAAATTAAAAAGGCAGCCATTATTGGTGAGTAAATGCATAATGCGTTGACAAGGGAAAACAAAACTTTAAAGACTTTATTTCACCACTTTAACCATAGCATACGTGTATCAATGTTTATTAGGCATCAACATAGACTGTATAAGGTAAGGCACCCATTATTTTTACTGTACCTGCTTAGCACCTATAATACTAATTCATCGTTTGCTCACTTCTTGATCCTACCTTTTGTCTTCTTAAGCCACATTTCTGGGGTATTGCACTGTAAGGTGTGTTGTCCTCTATTTTGTAGGACATATAGTGTTGCAAATAACTCCATTGCATGTTGTCGTCTGAAGGGTTAATAAAAAATCATATTCACCCCTCCTTCACCCTTAAACCATTCTGTCCTGTGTTTGTGCCTTAGTTTGTCTTTATCGGTAATGGATTTGCTTGATTTTAATGCGTGCCTTATTTCTCTTTGAGTAAACCTATCATGGCAGCTCGCCAGTGGAGTGGGTCAATGGGAGGCCATTGTAAAGTATTTTGGGTACGGTTGGGTGCAGGAAAAATTCTACAAAAGTGCAGTTTTGACAACGATATATGTTTACATGTGTAAAGTTTCTTACATCAGATTAAAAATTTGAGGGATTAGAAACTCTGAATCACTTTACATGTTAACAAATAATCCAAAGTGCATATGCATCAAGCCTTATTCAGAATAATAGCATGTGATGTTTCCAATCAGAATTCATTTTAGATTTAGAGTCCAATCAGAATCTTTCAATTGACATGTTTACATGACATATTTTTTATCATGGTGAGCCCTTTATCCAAAATATGTGTCCAATTGCAGCAAGCAGTAAGCACTTTGGGTTCCTGATGAAGTGGTATTTTAATAATATTTTTTGGTCTTCTCTAGATGCTACATTGAAGAAGTGGCCTGCAGTCAGCCGAGGGCAGCTAGGCACATCTATTAATTCAAAGCTCACAGAGCTGAGAAGATCTACAAGATAATTTCTTGGGGGGTATTTCTGTAAATTTTTTTGTTCTTGTACTTTGATTGTTCTTAAGTAATAAATAATGTTAAATTTCTGCATTTTGGGCTATTATTTATGTTGCCTAGTAGCTATGGATTTTTATAATTTTGCTAATACATAGGTAAACAAGTGCATATATGTGTGGATTGATATAGGTAAACGTATCAGCGGATATAGCTACATGTATGCACATGATCTTCACATATAGGTACATGTATGCACGGATATAGGTACACACATATATGTACATATATTTACATATAATATAGGAAAACGGCCAATTTTATATATGTACATATATGTGCTATTTCATATATGCACATATATGTACATATATGTGCTATTTCATATATGCACATATATGTACATATAATATAGGAAAACGGCCAATTTTATATATGTCACATATATTTAAAACCTATATCAAAACCTATATTAAAACATATATGTTTATATAGGTTCTTTCCATGTGAGGGGCCAGAGTGACAATGCTCTCAGTTTTCATCACATGCAGTGTTTTCCTGGTGGATGTCATCTTGCACCTTTTGAGCAGCCCTTTTTAAATGTCCTTCCTGAAGGTATAATCCTTCCCCACCTTCAGTGGTGTCACTATATTCTGCTGAGCATTCTTGGAATACTGGTTGTTGCTCCTTCCCTTGCTTTGTTTTTACTGGCTCCCTGTTCACATTACAGCTGTGATCCAGTGCCACAACATACAGAGAAGCCTCAAAACTCTCACTCAGGAATTTCTTGCTTTTTTGGCAATTTTCTTGTGTACAGGGAGTGAAGACATTCATGCTGCCCTGTGTGAAAGCTCACTCTTCTAAAAATTTCAGGAGCTGTTTTGTCCAGGTCAGTCTTGAAACTGAAAGGCAGCACTGCTTGTTATGAGCCATGGTTGTTTTCTCACCAGACACCCAGTGATGCACATTGGTGATGTGATGCAGGATCAAGGTCCATTTCTCCTTTAACTTTGTCACACTTCCTACATTACATGGGGCAACATTGGCATCGGATGCAGGAGATTGCCCTGCAACCGAGGGGTTGTTGGTTCAAGCCCCTTTCAGTTTCGTTGTGTCCTTGCTTAGTGATTGTGGTCAGAAGGCCTGGTGAGATCTTTGTACGGCAGCCTCGCTTCTGTCAGTGAGTCCCACAGCAACTGGGGCTACAATGTAGCTCATCAACATAAGTATGAGTGTGTGTCTGAATGGGTGAATAACTTAATTTAGGGTAAAGTGCTTTGGTCAAGTGCAGAGGTGCCATGTAACGAAGTACAAATACTTCGTTACTGTACTTAAGTAAATTTTTTTAGGTATCTATACTTTACTCCATTACTTATTTTTCTTCCTACTTCTGATTTCTACTCATTACATTTTCAGACAAGTATCTGTACTTTCTATTCCTTACATTTTTAAAACAAACGTTACTCGTTTATCTTTGCTTCGGTTTAATTCAGAGGTCACGGATTAGCGGACTGCACCTGATTTAAAACCTTTATAAATGACCGCATGTTGTCTGACGACAGAGTCTACACGTCACTTCTCCTGTTACCCTGAAATCCCACATCATCTTAGCTCCACCCCGCAGCGCTCCAGACCTCCTGCGCTAAGCAAAGTATTGCTGCACTCCGACTTATCCTCGGAGCTCGAGGAGAGCATGCGCTATATTATCATTAAATTCGTAGGAGCAAAACATGCAGAACTGAACGCTTAATTTAATATGACATATTAAAAAAGTCCCCATCAGCATCCAGTATGTGTTCAGTGTCAGATGGGGATGACAAATCAGCTTCCTGATATGTTGAAGTACAAATAGTTTGCATCCAATCTTTTAAATAAACTGTCTTAGTTTTGTGAAATATATATAAAAAAAAGCTCTAATTTGTAGTTACCGATCTGTTGTTACTATATTTTTGACAAACCGGAACCTCTCGCCGTTCTTTTTCCTGTTTGGTGCGATTGCAAATAGCGGATCTTGACCTTGCCGGACTGGAGCGGAGCCTGGACATTTAGAGTATGATTGGCTCAAACTGCTGCTGTGAAGCAGGATTCTCCACCATGAACATAATCAAAAATAAATATGGATCCAGGCTCAAATGAGCACCTTGATATGTGCTTCACAATGGCTTTGTCTCCATTCAAACCCAGGTTTAAACCCTTGCAGGGCAGCCTAAAGTCCACTGCTCTCATTAAACCAGAAATAAGAAAAACAAATAACAAATGGTCAGTTCAGGTGTTTTTGTAAAACATGTGAGTCAGGAAATTGTCTCTATACCAAACTGAACGATTGTTGTTCTGTACTTCAAAAAACACTTTAAATTTTAGAATGGTAAAATTTTCTATTTTTTTAAAATATTCTTTTAGTTAATAATTCTGTGTAATACATGAATTCATAAACACCTCATTTTATTTCAGTGTTAAATTCTGTTTAAAGTTACAGATCATTAAAAATGTCTCTGTACCTTAACTTGTTGATGATTTTCTTTATTCGGACCCCACTGATTTTTAATAGCTTACCCCTGGTTTAAAGTTAATAAATATTTTTTTCATGTCATGTGCGCCATCCAATGCAGATCATTGGCGTCATCTACATCTAGTCTAGCAAGTGAGTCATATAACGCAAACACTCATTGGTTAGCTAAAGGAAATCATCAGAAGCAAGCAGGTGTTGTTCAAACTGTAAATATTAATTGTCTATGCCATGCTACAATGTCAGATTTAGAAAAAGATGTTGAAATGTCTGAAAGGTTGGACACAGAGCGTATCGGGAGACAGAGACCAACAAGACCTCCCTTATCCTTGGCCCTATCTCAAAGAATTTTTCGAAATAGTCAAAAAATGTTGCTTTCTCTTCATATAGTGGCATCTGGCTATTTTTTCAAAGGTCAATTTATACTTTTATACTTTAAGTAGTTTTTGGAGCACATACTTTTTCACTTTTACTTGAATAAAGAGGTAAAGTGGATACTTCAAATTTTACCAGAGTGTTTTTAAACTGAGTATCTATACTTCTACTTAAGTAACAGATGTGTGTACTTTTGACACCACTGCTCAAGTGTCCTGACTTGAAAAAGTGCTATATGACTACAGGACATTTACCATTGTGTTTTGTGGCACAAAAAACAGAGATGATTTCTAATCATTCTGATACACTCAAACAGCTCCTCATTTTGTCTCTTTAGCAAACAGAAAGCAGGACTAAAGTGAAACTTTTTGTGCTGTCCTACACAGATTGGGACATCTGGTCAATCTATGTCAGACATACTTCTTCACTCACAGCCAATATGACTTGGTGTTCCCTTTTCTTTCTCTGTCTTTGGAAAGCTTTAGGTTTTAATACTGATAAGTTGCAGCCTTAAAATAACTTCAGTGACTTGTTGTACATAATTATTTGCCCTGTTGTGTCTGCCTTATGGTTTGCAACTCTTGTATGGTTTCAACAATGACACTAATTTATTCCTAACCAAAAATCTGATATTTGTGAAGGCCCCCCAAAGACAAGAAAACATCAGTGAACAAGCAACATCATGAAGACCAAAGACCAAGCCACCCTAGGTAGAAATATTGCCATGGAAGTCTTGAAAGCTGCCTCAGGTTGTGAGACAGTATCCCCAAGCTTTAAACATCTTGCAGAGAGCTGTTTAATCCATTATTGGTAAATGACACATGCCACATGACAAAACTGCAAACCTTTTTTTAAATTGAGCATCCACCTAAAATGACATGCAAGATGTAAACTAGTCAAAGAAGGACCTAAAAGTAGCTGCAGAAATCCTGATAACTCTTAGTAATGGCCTCTACAAATATGGCCTTGATAAAATGTATTTATTATATATGTTTTCTTTTTAAAATGTTATGATCTAGGTTCCTTTGTGAAGCCTGCTAAAAGCCTTGCAGGAAATATAGAAAAAAAAAGAAAAAAGAAAAAAAAAGGTGCTCTGATAAGCAAAATGCTATTTTAGTGTAGAAATACAATTGCTTAACACCCTAAGAACACAATCACCACAGTGAAACATGGTGTTGGCAGCATCATGTAGTAAAGATGTTATTGTTTTAATCAGAGGCATGGAAGGTGGCCAATGTATAATGGAAAATTAATGGAAGGAAAACTGTCAGACTGAAAAACAGCTGGAAATTCTAAAATAAGATTTCCACGTGATAAAGCCCGATATAAATCAAACTGAAGATCTGTGGTTGAACTTGAAGATCACTCTTCTGAAGGTTGAGGTGATTAGTAAAAAGCACAATTTTGAGAGCTGTTTAGTTTAAGTTTTCCTTTTTCATAGAACACGTTTATTTTCAATTCCCCTTTTTTAAAACACTAGGTTGGAGTTAAAACATTTGATGATGACATTTGGTGATGTCACCTCCTGTTCACCATGATTCTTCAGGTAGCTTTCCAGTGTGCACTTGTATGTCCCACGCATACCAAGATTTTACATCACAGGATGCCCATGTTTGATGCCATACCATGTTAGCTTGCTTGATATATATTCCCAAAAAGGAGAGTCCCGCCTATATGGAAGGAGCTGCTCATCTACAGTTACATGGGAACCAGGGCTGTACTACAAATTAAGGTCTTCTACACACTCATCTAAGAGGACAAACTGTATCTCCCTTTAACACACCTGTGTCTGAATGTATGCCAAGGCAATCAAAATATTGATAAATTGAATGATTGATTGAACATGAATTGATATTTCTTTTTTTTCTATCTATCTATCTATCTATCTACCGTCTGTCTGTCTTTCTATCTGTCTGTCTGTCTGTTTATAACTGATATTGTAATATAAGTGGTTTATATTCAACTGATTGCCCAATTACTTCAAAGGGCAATAAGTATATAAATATTAAGTACATCAAAGAGACCTGTTTATTTTGGATCTGTATAGCTTCTTAAACCTATTTAAGTGTGTGGGATAAGACTTACCTGCAGCCTAATCTTTCTATACAAACACTGCACAAATATACCACTACACA